GAAGAAGAAGCACGTCTTCAAACTCAGGTAAGGCCACGGCGCGGCGCAACGCGGCGTGGTACGGGGTGGCACACGCCTCACCGGTCCCTGCCCTCTGTCCCCAGGCTCAGCAATGGCAGCGAGTGGCTCTTCCATGGCAAGGATGAGGTGAGGGGGGACACGGGGTGGCCAGCGGTGGCTGAGGGAACGTGGTGGTGGGGCTGGAGATGCCCAGGGGACCAGCAGTGCTCAGGAGGACCCTCGGGTGGCTGGTGGTGCCCAGGGGACATGGCGGTGGCCAGCGGTGCCCTGGGGGACGCAGGGTGGGCAATGGTGCCCAGGGGGACAGAGGGTGGCTGGTGGTTCCTCGGGGACACAGCGGGGACTAGCAGGGTCCAAGGGGACACAGGGTGGTCAGGAGTGCCTACGGGGACGTGGGGCGGCTGGCAGTGCCCGGGGGGACACAGGGTGGCCAGGGATGGGGACGTGGGGTGGCTAGGGATGCTCAAGGGGATACGGGGGGTCCAGCAGTGCCCAAGGGGACACAAGGTGGCTGGTGATGCCCAGGGGACATCAGGGTGGCCAGAGATGTCTAGGGAGAGAGAGGGTGGCTGGTGGTTCCCAGGAGACACAAGGGACACCAGTAGTGCCCAGGGGATGTGGGGGTGGCCAGAGATGCCCAAGAGACACAGAGGGGACCAGTGGTGCCCAGAGGAGGGACACAGAGTGACCTGTAGTGGCCAGTGGCACACAGGATGGCTGGCGCTGTCTGTGGGGCTATGGGGTGACCAGGGCAACCATGAAGACATGGTGGGGGGCTGCTTGTACCCAGGGGATGTGCGCCGATGCACAGCAGACGGAACACCACTGCCTCCAGAACAGCCCCGTCCAGCATTGAGCCTGGGTTGAGTTCTACCAGACAAAGAGAACACCGCTCGCTGACACTCGGGACCCATCCGAGCCCACGGGAATTTCTTGGCAGGACCGTGCAGTGCTAATAACTGTGCAGTGCTAATTATAATAACTAATGGGCTGACACCACACTGCCTTTGTGTTCCAATTAAATTCTACCACCGCTTTGTTTATTAGCGAATATAAATGCTCGCTGCGTTTTGGTTTTTTGAAAACACTATGCAAAGAAACAAGTCCACTCTAAGATATGATGAGGAAAAAAATACAGAGGAAATACCAGTAGCAAATCCCCAGTGTTGTCAAATGAAAATGCTACTTTAAAGCAACAGGACAACCTTACAAACTCAGGCAATGTAGGAGCACTGCTGTTTGGTGTAGTTCATTGTGAAATAGGCTTTTTCTTGTTCCACTGCAGAAGAGAGATCCAGCTGGAGTCATGCAGCAGGTACAGAACGTGGTCGGAATAAACCAGGCTGTTTCTCCAGCTTGTTCACTTTCCGCCCCCAGACAAGGTGTTTAAAAAAAAAAAAAGTAAAGCTTAGCAATTATTGCAATTAATGCAGCTGAAGTGATCACTCACTGTCTCTAGGATCGAACTGGGTTATTCATGGTGTCTGGATACCCAGAGCTTTATGGAGTGTTATTTCATTCCTTTATAGTTAAGTAATGGTAATTAAAACCTACCTCATGTTTGTTTTAACGTAGCTGATCACTGATTTTGTGTGTGTGAAAAAAAAAACCACACAAAGAGAGATGAGAAACAGCATGCTAGCTTTTTTCCTAGGTGCAGCTAAATCCCACTTTGCCAAGAGAAATTATTTCTAAAAATTGCAATGCAGTGTCCCAATCATCCTCATGTTCTAATCCAGTGTGCAAATTGCCATCAAAAACATATGGTAGGAACAGATGGGAGGGAACTTCCTGTAAGCCACAGGAGAGGGGGGGAAAAAAACCCTGAAGATAAAAAAATAAAAACACTTATTGACTATTTACACTTACAAACCAGCTAAAAAAAAAAAAAAAAAAGGGGGGGGAGAGG